TATATATATATGTTTTATATTTTAAGATCTTTGCAGTGGATGTACATCTTAAGGTCACTGGGGGTTCCAGTCTCTGTTAGCCTGCAGGTAGCGGTTGGGAGAGGATGACACTGTCTTTGCCTGGACGCAGCTGCTCACCACATCAGGCACAGATGTCATCACATCACTCACTTCCTTTATGTGCATCCCTCGTACTCTGTATCTTGAGTCTAGTTGCAAATAGGCTGGTTTTAAAAATAAACATTTGAGCCAAGCATGCTTGATTTTACCCTGCATAATTCTTATAAGTTACACTCTGAACACAGAAGAAAAATCACTGTGAAAGTCAGACAGGCCTCTCTTTTTAACCTTCACCTGAGGATATGTTTTTCATTGATTCTAGAGCTAGAGGAAGTGAGAGGGCGAGAGAGAGAAAAACAGCTATCGGTTGCCTCCTGTATGCTCCCCAACAGGGGATCGATCCCGAAACCTGGGTATGTGACCTGACCAGGAATCGAACCGAGATCTTTTGGTGCACGGGATGACGCTCCAACCTACTGAGCCACACCGGCTGGGGCAGACAGGCCCTTCACAGAGCAGTGGAGTGTTGTTTGACATTAGTGAAGCAAATTGATCACTGGAGGAAGAACTTCAATTCCATATTTTCTCGCAGGGCAACAATCAATCGCTTAGAAAGAAAGATATCCACACAAAAAATGAGATGTTTTGGGTTTTGTTATTGAGATATGTGCAAAGCAAAGGGATTACCTTTCCCATATGATGCAGTACAACTAAAGGCAAGACATGGCCACTTCTTTATGAATAGATAAAAGAAATGTCAAAGCAACCAGAGGCCGCTGTGCGTGATTCATGTGCATCTCAAGACTCTGAAGGCATTGTGTCATCCTTTAAATATAAGCACTTTTGCCTCTGGTAATAAAATAATGATGCACCTTAACAATCATTGAAGTCTTGGATAGGGTGAAATCCTTTAAGTGGCAGATCCAGTTTTAAATTCAAGCAGCCTAGCTCTGGAGATTTCACCCACATCCACTATCCTCCAGGCTTTTTATCTTTACAGGAAAACATTTGCAGGGTGTGAAGGGGTTTAAAAATCAGTTTTTAGCACATAGCTCGATTGATAGTGAGTTGATGGCATCTTCACTGAATGTTCAGTGTCATATTTAAAGTAGAATCTTCCCCAACTCCCAATGCCTCATGACTTGAATTAAAATTGATTTTAAGTTAGCCACATCACAACTGATAACCAGACAGCAGGCTGTGCTCAACACTAGACTGATGAGAGTTTACTACTGTTTGTAGGATAAACTACTTACACTGCAGATGAATTTAGGCCTATTATTCCTTTACCCATTGGAACTAAAAAATGTGCAGTTTTGTAGTAATCACTCTTAATTTTAAACTCTGTATTGCATATTTTGTCTCCGACTTTACGGGGGTGAGGAGGGGCCAGACTTGGAAGATACTGGGGGGAAATGCTATGCCCTACCTACAGTGTAGGGCAAGTATATGACTTGCACCACTGAGAGGGCATCCATTTGGAGAAACCAGAAGATACATGACCTGGTGTGAGCATATGGGAGCCACACGAGGGAGCCGATCACAGTTGGGTTTTGGGAGCTGTTCCCTGGGTCTTTCTCCATTTCATCAAAATTCCCTTTTCACTGAGGCTGGTCTCCTCACCCTTTCCCTTCCTCACCTAAATGATGGCCATGCACTGGTCATCCTTCCTGATGACCCCTCTCTCACCTCGCCCTTCAGTCCCGTCTCCTCCTCTTTGGTGTCTCTAGAACATGTCTGTTTTTCTTCTCTACATCCCTTGTGACATACATTTGTCTGCGCTGCACAACTGCTCATTTACATGCATGACTGCTGTTTCATAGATGCATGGATTGGAGTTAAGGCTTTGCTAGGAACTAGCCAAGGGACCTTGTGTAAGCCCATGTTTGTTATCACCATGGACCTCAGTTTTCTCACCTGGGGAATGATCTCCCGGGACACTCCCCGCTTTGGACTGTGGATTTCTGAAAGCAGAGGCAGTGATAAAGCCTGGTGGGGTCAGGGGAGGTGTACATTTCCCACTCTCAGTGATTTTCCTGCCACAGAGGTGGATCCTCAGCCTGATGCGTCTGCTGTTACCCACCTTTTTGCCAACTTCCACTATTCTTTTTCAGGGCTGGGAGAGGGTTCTGCCCTCCTTCATCCAGATAGCAGAGCGCATCCTAGATCCTTGGAGAAAAGTGCCTGGAGGGCGTTCAAGGAATCGCAGTGTCATCATATGCTCAAACATCTCCACAATGGTGCGAGGATCACTGTGCAGATGCCGCCCGCGATCGAGGGCCACTGGGTGTCCACTGGGTAAGAGGACCAAGGCAGGAGGGGCGCAGGAGGGACCGGGGAGCACACTTCTATGGAAGGCCCTTTTTAGGGCTTCTCAGATGCATATAGACTTTATATAATGTACAATGATTTAGGTGTTGTCTAAAGTCTAACTAAGCCAAACAAGGCTTTGAAATTCTGGTTGGTAAGGAAACAGAGCTGAGTACTGTAGAAATCACAGCTAAAGCAGAGATGATATTGCACCACTGTTAACCACAGTGTGTGAGTGAATAGGTCCTTGTTTACCGAACTCTGTGGGACCACTCCTGTATAAAAAGAAACCATTAGCAAGTGAAATTAGCAGTCTGTGTTTCTCCAACCCTGAAACATGACTTGCAAGTTTCTGATGGTCTAAATATTCCAGCCATATTCTGGTAATTTAATATATAGCTTCAGGGTTCTAAGAGTAAGTTAAAAGGTTCTCAAGCTACCTCTACTAGCCAGGCTATAGTTCTTGGATTCTTTTCCAGGCTGCAGAGCTGAGATTTATCCCAGTTTGAGCTCTGGCTTATCTTCCATTAGAGCTTTTAAAAATAGCCTAGAGGCAGACCTGCAGTTTTCCTCCTACCCATTAAATTGTTGAGAATTAACAAGGCTAACTCTGGGATCTGATCACTTCTCCCCTGCAACCTCTGGGCACCTTGGGGAGGGATCAAATAAATATGGAGAAGAAAAAGGGATTTTATAAGATGATGAAGACCCAGAGGTGGTTTTTTTACCCATAAAAATTGAGTTTCTCAAAATAAGCACGTGATAAATATTTGCACAAAGTTAATGACGTACTTTTAAGTAATTTATTATTTTATTTAACAGCTATTGGTTGAGTATACAAATATTAACTGTGTGCCAAGCATTATTCTAGATTTTGTGTTTATAACAGTGAACTAAACAAACATGGTCCTTGTCTTCAGGAATTTTACAAATAAACACACACAAAGAAGTACTATGATGAGGGAAGAAACAACAGGTGCTAAAGGAGAATACCGGAGACCCTATTTTAGGATGGGGTGGGGTCACGAAAGGTTAGCAAAGAAGAGGACACTTGAACTGGGATGCGCTTGGACTGAAGGAAGACTGAGGGAAGAGCCTTCCATCTGGAAGAACTAGCAAAGCCTGGGATGGAGAAACCACTGATGCAGAGCACATGTGCCTGGCTGTGTACACCAGGGGGAACAGCTCCAAATGAGGCTGCGAGGAGGGCGGGGTCAGCTCCCAGGGTACCTTGAAGCCAGGTCTCCTCTCTGCGTTTAGCTTTTACTCTAAGAGAACGGAGAAGTCAATGAAGGGTGTTCAGCAAGGCCCATGCTTAAGACATGATTCAGCTCTGGCTGCTGTGTGGCAAATGAATGGTAGAAAAAGTGGTTTGGGGATGACCAGTGAAAAGCTTTGTACCAGTTCCCTCTAGAGATGAAGGAGGCTTAGGTAAGGATGGCGGCGGGGCAGATGGAGAAGTGAATGGACTTGACATACACCGAGCTCCAGAGGCCAAATCAGCAGAACGTCAGTGCTTAAATAAAATATTAAAAATAAGTGATCTTCTTAGCTATACCTCAAGGGACATTAATCTCTTCTCTGCTCACATTAAACTCTTTCCATGGAGGAGAATTCCCGGGTCTTCTTTCATTCCTTTTTCACAGATGATGGATCCTCAAAGAACTGCTGAGTGCTTTAGGTCTATATGGTGTTATTTTGACATCAATTGACAATCTTTACCTAGTGAAAGGTACCCACTTCAAAATAGTGCTTGTCTTTTACCAGTTTAACTAAAAAACAGAAATGTTAACAAGTTTGAGAACCACTGGCCTTTGGGAATTCAAGCCCATTGTTTGATTTAGCAATGCTGAGTCAACTCAATCCAGAATTAGTGTATATAAGTATATTATATAGTACATAATATATATATATAATATATATAATTATATATAATATATATTATATAATATATATAATATATATTATAGACCTGAGCAGAGTTATGAGACCAAAATTAATGAGATGAAAGTCATGATGTAACTGAGACTAGGATCTAGCAAAAGGTATGGACAAATTTTTTGGCTAATATATTAAAGAAAACATCATTTGCCTGGTATGGGCTCTGCTGCATGTCTATGAATTTATTACAATTAGGACAGTGTAAGGAAGGTATGTAAGTTCTAACCTACTGGGCCATTTGTGCTCTGTCCACCCAGTCCAAGTATTTCTGGCCTGGGAATTTAGCATTTATGTCATGCCACAGCAAAAAACCATTTTATCGTTGTCAACAACTCAAAACAAAAGGAACCCTTATTACTGTTGTTATATTAGCTTAATTTTAGTAATTGCCTCTTTATTTTTCTAGAGGGAAAATTGATTTTGACTGGAAGGGAGGGCGAATTTCTGATTGCCTTTAAGTGACGCCTCCCCAAGACTAGATTTCATTTTAGCATGATGGACATCTAGCCCCTGCCTGCTCTAGACAAGGTCCATAAAACAGAAGTTGTCAGGAAATCAGTCATTTCTGAGCTTGCATAAGGGAACTTCTTTTATAGGCTAGAAACATAGTCTTTTTCCTTCTTCCTACCAGCAGGGAAGAAATTTCTCTGTAAGTTAGGCCTGTGGGTAGAACTGGGGATAGCAGATTTCTGCTCTCCTGGCCTGTTCATAAAGCGAATGAAAGGCTTTCTGATGTAGAACGATCAGACTCATAGGCACTAGGGCCGGGCTGCTCTGGTTCACCATCTGGCTCTGATGTTGGCTGGTTATGTGACCTTGGCCATGTTACTTAGTCTCTTGTGCCTCTGTTTCCCCATCTAAAATATGGACAATAATAATACCTACCTAACTCAGAAGTTATTGTGAGGATTCAATGAACTGATATCTATACAGGACTTAGAACAGAGTAAGCATTCTGTTATTATCGCTCTAGCTTCTTAACACTGTAATGAATCTCTTCCTCCTGCCTTTGGGCTCTAAAAAGCCTCTCTTCCCCTTTTCTTCTTCAGCTGTGAAGTGAGGTCTGGCCCAGAGTTCATCACAAGGTCTTACAGATTCTACCACAATAACACCTTCAAGGCCTACCAGTTCTACTATGGCGGCAACCGGTGCACAAGCCCCACCTACACCCTCATCATCCGAGGCAAGATCCGCCTGCGCCAGGCCTCCTGGATCATCCGCGGGGGCACGGAAGCCGACTACCAGCTGCACAACGTGCAGGTCATCTGCCACACGGAGGCGGTTGCCGAGAGGCTCAGCCAGCTGGTGAACCGCACGTGCCCCGGCTTCGTCCCTGCTGGAGGTGCCTGGGTGCAGGACGTGCCCTACGACCTGTTGCAGGAGGAGGACGGCTGTGAGTGCACCAGGGCCGTGAACTTCGCCATGCATGAGCTGCAGCTCCTCCGGGTGGAGAAGCAGTACCTGCAGCACCACCTGGACCGCCTGGTGGAGGAGCTCTTCCTTGGCGACATCCACACCGACGCCTCCCAGAGGACGTTCTACCGGCCGTCCAGTTACCAGCCCCCCCTGCAGAATGCTAAGGTACCCCAAAGCTGATTGGACGCAGGGCCCTGCAGCCTTCTCTTTGTGAAGTAAAATGAGGGCCCTAAGGAGTGATGTGTCAGTGGGGTCAAAGGGACCCTATGACAGAGAGAGAACTGAGTCATGAGGGAGGTACTGGTGAGAGGTGAGAGGAGTGTCAGAGCACTTCTGGGGCAGGGACACATCACTAGAGTCAGGAGACCTAGTCAGCCACCAGTTTGCTCTATGATTTGGGGCATCTATTTTCATATTTGATGTGGGTGGTAGTTCTGGGGTTGGTGGTATGGTAGGGTCTCGGGTGGTTGTCCTAGAAAATTCCTGAGGCTCCTGTCAACTCTTAACACTTTAGGAACCTTGTCTGTGATTCTAAAAGGAAAGCAGGAAGGAAACACGGAGACATTCTAACCACACGTGGGAAAGACGGGTGATCCCAGCCCTGGAGGGGGTGGGGAGGCTCCGGGGAACAGTGACAGTGCTGTTTGTGTAGGGCTGTAGACCCCGTGAAGATCTCCCACCCACATCACTACTTTCAGACTTCACAGCGACCCTCTGAGGGAAATGTTACCACCCTCATAGGCAGAAGAGTCCACTAAGGTTCAAGGGTTTAGCCTCCTGCCCAAGGTGACCCAGTTAGTTTCAGTGGAACGTGAACCCAAACCTCTTTCTCCAGACCCCACACTTGACTGAATGAAATGTCAAGTCACTGTGATCAGAAAAGAGAACAGAGCAGGGCAGGAAACCATTAAAACCTTACAGTGCCCTTTTCTCCAATGATAGTCCAATAATTACATTTGGAATTCACAAAGCATTTTCTTCCCACAGGCTCAGAGTTCGTGTCAGCAGGTAATGCAATCATTTCCACTGCAGGAGTCAGGGAAGCTCGAGGCAGGGAGGGCGTGCGGGGCTCTGATCACGGTGGACCAGGGTGGGGGCAGTTTCCTCTAGAACAGCAATTCTAATTGCAGGGTCTTCTTTGACTTCTGTTTGGCAGTTCATTTATTTTTTTAAAAACTCTTTTTTCTTCTTAGTCCTTTGAGCTCATTCATGACTAGTGGAGAGATCACAGAATACTTCCCCTGCCAAGACCACTCAGCGTTATCTTTTTAGCTGTGCTGTTGTGAGCTCGTGTAATGAAAGTCGCCCTTACTATAATTGTGGGAAATCTGCTGAGGAAGCCCACTTGGCAGAGGCCACTTCCTCTGGACGCTGGTCAGGGATGGTCTCGTGTGTGAGGTGAGGTGAGGCCGACTGAGGGCCGAGGGCTTCAGACCCAGGACCCCCTGGGCTCTCCACACTCAGCTAGCTCACCAGCATGGTTCAGAATGCCACTGGGGTAGTTCCAGTGGAGAACAGGAGCCAGGTCCACTGTGTTCTGCCTCAGAAGTGCCAGAGGCACTGAGGGGGGGAAAAGGTGAGTTAGGGCAGCGAGCAAGAGGGCACCGTCACGCCCGCTTCCAGACATCCTCTTGGGAAGGGTGAGGTGGGGGAGCCTAAGCTCTGATATTCCACACTTAGATGCAAAAGCATCAGGAGAATATTCCACAGGGCGGCACCTGGCTGAGGGCCTGCTTTTGGGGAAAACGGAGGAGTGATGAGCTTCAGTTCCATTCTGGGACCTTTCTAGTTGGTAGCATTATCCAGAGTCTGTGGTGAGTGCTGCAGCTAAATAGCACTTTTGTTGAAATCTTTGGTGTGTGATAGCAGCCAGGAAAGGGGATTTTCATACGTACATTTGGCTCCCTCTGAGTACAGTTTAGCCAACTTTTAAATTATCTCTGGTGATGGGAGGTAAGAATGTCATGAATAAAAATGTTCCACAGATAATTCAGAAAACTCATGGGAGCCAAGAATGCCAGCCCCTGTCTCACCCTGAACCTTTCTGAAGATCAGCTAAGCCAGCAGAGTCCTTTCCATTCCTGCTCATCCTGCAGGGGAGACACTAATGAGCAGCAAAACAGCCACAACTTGGGCAGTGAGGCAAGGGGCTGAGGAAGGAGGAAGGAGCCGAGTTGCTCAAGGAGGAGCCAGGGTACAACCCCAGAACTGCCTGGGCTGGAGTCAGGACCCCTCTCTCCAGCTCTATACCTGACCTTGGGCTGGTCATCTGCACACACTCAGGTTGAGATTTTGTTTCCTCACCTGCAGATGCCTTATTGGCTCTTTGATCTCTTAAGTTCTTTTTAGGACTCTAAAAAAGAAACTATTAATATAACTATTTTGTTTTCTTATCCCTCTCTCTTATCCCTCAAACTCACTGTTTTCCTTCTGGTGGCATGGCTCTTCAGAAAGTCTGAAAGATAAAACGAAGATTCCTAAGACTTGTAGTTACAGACAGTTCACTCTCCCTCCCTCCTCCGGTTCTGGAGTAGGGAGTTCTTCTGGTCAGTGCCCTTCACTAAATAGAGCCTGGTTGTTGGGAGAGCAGAAGCATACAGTTGTGGCTCTGGGAGGAAAAATGTCTTGAAAGTGAGTTATTGACATTGGCATGGAGAATTAAGGATGAGAGTTGTAAGGCTGACCATCTCAGAATTTTTATAAACAGAGAGTTGAAGAGTTTTTTGCTTTTTTAAACATCATCTGGATAAATTGGCAAGAATATGGACTTGGAGATGGTAGCCAATCTGGAATCCAGTTCTCCTGTGGTCATCAGCTAGGGGGCACTAGTAGTGTTACCTGACCTTTTGGAGTCTTAGTTTCTCTTTTCTTTAAAATGGTAAAAATAGAAGATTCGATTGGGTTAATATGCACAATGCTGTCAGCATCTGGAAAGGGCCCCTGGCCTGGAGTAAGGAACCCTTGTGGGCATATGGCTCCTAGAGGAATGAGAATGACAGTTGACCGAGGGCATCAAAGTATTTTTTGTTACTGTTAATCCTCACCTGGGGATATTTTTTCCATTGACTTTTAGAGAGAGTGGAAGGGGGGAGGAGAGAGAGAGAGAAATATCGATATGAGAGAGATACATCAATTGGTTCCCTCCCGCATGCACCCCGACTGGGGCCGGGGACCTAACCTGCAACCTCGGTACATGGCCTTGACTGGAAACCGAACTCAAGACCCTCAGTGCTTGTTCTGACCTCTAACCACTGAGCAACATGGGCCTGGGCACATCAGAGTATTTTATGATGCCTCGCTATAAAACATTTCCTCCCATTTTCTCCCCCCTGCTCTGCTAAGGCAGTTATGGAAACATTTACCCAGGTCTTAAGAAAGAAACTCTTTAAACCCTAGGTCTGATTCCCTCATTCAAGAAATATTAAGGGTGGAAAGAACCTTGGGTCTTCGATATTATCCAAGATGTACTGCTAAGTAAAAAAAGAATAAAGAAAAAAGGAAGGTATGGTACCATTGTGTAAAACTAGTCATAAAAGAAGATAAGCTTACAAAGGAGTATTTCTGGAGGGGCACTTAGGAAGCATAAGGGTTCCTTCGAGGAAGGGGACTGAGTAGCTGGGGAGACAATCAGACAGAGACTTGTCACTGTATCCCTTTTGGTTCCTTTTTAAATTTGTGCCATGATATTAAATTACCTAAATGCAATTACCACACAGAGTTAAAAGGCGTTTTAACAAGACTCTAAGGCTCAGAGCGCTGTGGCCGTGGATGAAGATGGCAGCAGGGCTGGGAGGGGAACCCGGGCGGGCGTCCAGGGCCCAGCCCGTGC